TTTCTTAGTGTCAGACTTATATGCTAGAGGATACACATGTGTGAATCAACTGTGGTCATCAACAATGGTTAAGAAGTATTTATAACCATCATGAGATGAAACAGAGAATGGACCCCATAAGTCACAATGTATTAAGTCAAAAGAAGATTCATCAATAGATGTGCTAATGCGAAAACTTAGTTTTCTTTGATTAGATAAATGACATACATCACAAGGATCATGAATTTTAGTATAAGGTGTAGATGTAATGGAAAGTCTATGAAACTTGGAAAAACAAACGTGACATACTCTTTTGTGCCATGTGTTGTGATTTACAGTGCTTGAAGAAACGCATTTACAGGTAAATTGAATGTTACAGGTAAATTTTGTGCATACAGAGAGAATTTATCAAGACACATGTGATAGAGGCCATCTTTCAATCCAGAAGAACCAATCATTATCTTGCTTTTCATATCCTGTAATATACATCAAGATGATATAAATTAGAGCATGTAGTTGCTATTTGAAACCTATTTAGATACAAAGATAAGATTGAATTGAAAGCTAGGCACATATATGACATCATGAAGAATTAGATTCTCAATCAATTGCACAGTTCCAATTAAGAATGCATTAGTATTTTGACCATTAGACAAGTTAATAGATGTAGAGATAGCTTTTGGTGTTTTAGAGAAAAAAGATGCAGCACAAATCATGTGGTCTGTAGCACCTGTGTATAATATCCTTGTATTTTGAGAAAGAGTAGTCAATGCCATGCAAAGTGGGATTTAGACAAACGCGTGAGCTCTTGAATAGCAGTAGCAACCATAATAGGACTAGGTGATGGTCCAACTATAGGTTGTGCTCCCTGCGATGCTTTAAAAGCTAGAAACTCATGAAGTAAATCATTAGTAAAGGAAAGAGAGTTATTAGTAGGAGTGGGACGTTGATCAGATGTAGCATGAGTGGCATTGGCAGAGTGTTGTGGGTGGATTCTTGGACCTTTTAAAACAATACAATTTTCAGGGTAGCCAATGACTTGGAAGCACTTTTTAGAAGGATGGCCATAGCCACATTGTGTACAACGAGGTCTTTTGTTGTCTTTGGGATGAGGTGGTTTTGAATTTTTGAAATGAGATTGAGAATGTGGCTGAGAGGTTTTAGCAAGCATGGCCTGGGCTTTAGAGGGATTAGCTGTATTGTAAAGTGTTCTTTGTGTTTCTTCTTGAAGAAGTATAGAGTAGAGTTTTGATAATGGAGGTAACAGTGCAGACAACTAGAAATGACTGCGGAGTGGAGAATAGGAATCATGTAATCCAACCAGAAACTTCATGACAGAGTCTTGTTGTTAGCAAGCAGCCATGGACTTGAAAATATTACAAGTTCATGACACAAAAGCTCCACAATTACATTTGATAACAAGTCTATAAGTAGCTTACTCATCCCAAAGTGCCTTACACTTGTTATAATATTAAGCGATGGACAATGAACCTTAATCTATGGTGGTTAAAGACTTTTCAAGTTGAAAAACCCTAGGTCCACTACTCGTTGCATATTTAGTCTTGATTTCATCCCAAACTTCTTTAGCTGGATGTGCAAAATAAGAAGGACTGACGAATTTGTTTGGAAATTGAGTTCAATAACCAAGACAACACCAAGTTATTTGCACGCACCAATGAGATATAGAGAGTTGATGTGTTACCAGAGAGGGGATGGTGCCGGTAATGTACGTCTACGAATCTGCCCTTGTTATTTTATGATAAGCGCCATTTGGACAACGCGAACCAAAAGACGAAGTTGTCACCATTGAAGAGTTCGACAACCATCAGCACCCCTGAATTGTCACTAGCGTGCAGGTAGTACGGGGACGTCGGATCATCGGTGAGATTGACGGCAGTCATGTCAGATCATATTTAGGGCAAAATTTGATAGAAAAATTAGAGCAAAACCGAACAAATAAAGCCGAAATCAAACAGATCTATGAGAAAATCGTACAGATCGAGGCTAAAACTATATCGATTTGGTCCTAAAAACAATAAGAAATCAAAGGAAAAAAATACGAGCAAATCGTCTCATAGAAGGAGACGAAAAACGAAAAAATAAAGGCAATCGTCTCAGAGATGGAGACGAAGCAAATATGCAACGGAAAACTCAGAAAATACGGCGAATGCCGGCGACTGATACCATGTTAGATGAGGAAGATGATCGATCGAAAGATGAGAGAGAGACAGTACAATTTGACAGAAAGAAACCAAAGAACTTTTATTAATCTTCAGGAATGAATTGAGTATTTACAAAAGTGGTACATAGTATTTTTACATAGGGTACAATGAGGCTAAGCCGCTATTTACAAAGGGTAAAAATATAAAAGTTGTTACAAACTAATTGACAACTTTACATATGCTAATAATTATCTTTGTTTGTTTCTCTCATAATTCGCCTTTTATAAATTATTTTCGTTGTTTGTCGCATAGCTTATCGCATAACTGTTTTAAACTTTTTCAATTAACTTCGCATGTATGTTCCATTGCTTTTCGTATAAATATTTGACACTCTATAAATTATCTTCGCCTATCTATCTCATACCGTATCGCATAAATATTTTACATTTTATCAATTATCTTCGTCTGTCGCATAGTTTATCTCATAATTATTTCGCATTTTATCAATTATTTTTCATTTGTTTGTCATTCGCATAACTATTTCACAATTTATCAATTATCTTTTTTTGTTTATCACTTTTTCATATAAATACAATTTATCAAGTATTTTCGTTTGTAGAAAAACTTAGTGGGTGATTGTTTATCATCTCAACTAAAAAAAATTAATCAAAACTCAAATTTAATTTTACTTTAACCCAACTCCACTATCTCCAATATTATCAATATAATTAAGTAATATCAACCAATCATTTTTACACGTCACATCAATTCTAATTCACTATTCACCCACTCACATAATTTTAACTAACCATCACTTCCAATCATTTTTTTCTTACTTTTACATCATATCAACTTTAATTATTTTATTTTAAATATTATTTTAATATATCCACTAATAACTAACCATACCATTTTTTTTTTTAAATTAACTATAATTAAAAAAAAATCAATTAAAATCTACTTAAATTTATAAACAATCTCTCCTTTATTAGCTATCTTCCTTTAAAATATATTGTGTTCAATAAAAAAGTCCCGTCTTGAATTCTTGCAGTTCTATGGTGGGGCCCACTACAGTAGAACCAGAATAAGCGCTAAAAGACAAAACTGCATATGTAAAAACCGAAAAAAAAAAGAAAAAGAAAAAGAAAAGAAGTAAATTAGAGCGCTCATTTGATATGATGCCATCAATGGAGCTGGTAGGTGGTAGCGTGCGTCTTTATTGTAAATTGTATTGTAGTAGCCTCTGCACATTCAATTTTTCTTTTTTATTTGTTCAATATAGAAGAATGCTACTGTTTTATTTGGAGAGAATATTCACAGTGGGGAAAAAAAGATAATTTTGAAGAAGGGGAAAAAACATGCCCAATTTCACCCCAACAGTTGTGTTCATTGCTCGTTCAAGTATTGGCAGCAGATCCTAAAGGTCTTCTACATCTGTCTCTATCTCTTCTCTCTCTCTCTCTTCATGTATACTATATATAGATATATATTCAAGATCTTTTTTTTTTCTCTTTCAAATTTTCAATTTTCTCTCCCCGTTGTGTGTTTCTGTGTTTTTCTTTGTCTATAGATGTATATAAAGTCTTTGCCTTGTGCATTCTATTTTTTTCCTGAAAATTTTCTCGTTTTATAAAGTTATGTATATTTTCTTCTTGAATATTGTATGTGTTTGTGTGAATTACGTTTATCCGTTCCGTTGGCTGATTTTTAGTGTCGGGTAGTACTGTGTTGGGGTAAGAAGTTAGTAAAGATGTTGATTTCTTACGCTAGTTCTTCAGATTAGGATTTTCTATCTGAAACTTGTTGAAAGCTGAATTAAGTTATATATGAGAATGTTTTTATTTTTTCTTCCCTTTTTCCCCCCTTTTTATTGCTCCTATTTTGTGTCTTGGGTAGTATTCTTCCACTCACTATCCGGTACTTCTATGTCTAAGATAAGTCTTATTTGCATAATAATATACTATGTTTCGTTTGTAAATATCACCTTCATATAGCATTTTTAGGGTGTTAGGATTTTTCTTTTGGAGGATGGATTTGTGATGTCACTAGTTGTTTGATTTGTTTTTCTCTCTTTTCCCTTGTGAAATAGCCCAATTTCATGCATAGGACCACCATTTTAGCGGTTAATTTAGTTCTTGGTTATTAATTGCATCCTAACGTTGAACTCATGAAGGTGTCCAATTTCTGTTTTTTAACTCTTAACCACAACACTGGACCATGAGCTACTTCTCATCTACTACTTGACTTGTACAGCTTTTTGAGAAATTATTATTGCTTCATATGTTTATGATATTTACGCAACTCTTTATTAGTATAATTTGAGTACATGCTTCCAAAGTTTAGTGGCCTTGCATGGCCAAAACATTGCCTTTTATTGTGTGTGCTTTCTGGAGCTAGGCCATGGCTTGTCACTTATTACTTCACAACTACACGTGAATATAGAGAACGATAATTGCTGCTGAAATTTTAACGTTTGCTCTTTATTTCAACTATGCACAATGATAGTAACATCCGGAATCTTCTTTGTTTATCTGTGTTTGAACCACTCTTTACATTTTAATCATCTACTTTGTTGTTTTCCCCTGCATAAGCCTTTGAGTTTGAGCAAATACATGTTCTTACAAGCTCCTTCAATGTCTGCATAGGCTGAACTCAGAAAATAAGGCGGCATGTTCTTTGGCCGAGTTTCATAATGAAAACTAATTTTTTTACATTTTTTTTTCCTCTTCACCTTTTATCTTGAATTATTCAAAATGAAAACTTTGTAATTGATTACTGGATTTAGAACTCAATTTTATTAGGCAACCAAACCAAGTTGATGGGGTTGATTTACTTTTACATGCTCAAGCAGCTAAAGTAATGGCCAAAAGGTGCTGTATGAAATTGTTTACCAAAAAGCTAAATTCAGTAATGCATCTGATATTTTTAGCTACTTCTGAAAGTAGTGGCTCCATGACATCAAAACCTACCAGAATATGTGAGGGAAAGTACAAGTTTAAATGTTGCATCCGTTTGATTGTTAATTATCCTTCTTGGCAGAATATGCAAGAGAAACATTTGTTTGCAGGCAATATCCCAAAACCTCGGGTCTGAAAAGGAATCTCTTGTCTCACGTGGCCAAGAGGTGAAGCAAATAGGTTACCAATTGCCAGATTACACTCTACCAGCTGAATCAATCACTTAGCCTTTCTCATCATGGGAAAAACAAATTCTCAAGATCTGTGTGCTTCATCAGATTCTGGTAATAAAGCTTTATAACCTGCTGAATTACAACCCTTCCTTTTTTTTCTTCCCGTGCTTACAGACTGTCTGGTTGAGTTTAAACAAGCTCTTCAAAACATCGTATAGAATGCTTGGAAAATCTGATCACTTCATTTTTCTTATACTTATTTTATGGAAGATTTCTTATAAGCTTCCAAAATATTAAGAGCTTGTGTTATTTTTAGCCTCCTCCGGTAGATCCCAAGATGTTTTTCTCTGAATAAGTCAATAAGATCTTATTTCAACAACTGTCTTTGACTTTGACCATATTAATTCACATGTTATGGTTGCTAGCATTCAATAAACTCAGCCTTATTGACTCCTATTATTTAATCACTAAGGTTCGGTGTATCTCTTTAGTATTCATGACTATCCCATAGACATCACTTCTTCATTATCTTTCTTTCTTTTTATAAAAAAGAAGATCTGATCCTCTCCGTTATGTGGGCCTTGTGCAGATAATTTCAGAGTCTGGACTTAATCTTGTTAGACTCATAATATATAGATTTATGCATCTTTGCTAGATATAGTTTGAATTCATTGGATTAACTTATGACCTTTTTTCTACTAAACGAAGTTGACTTGTGTATCAAATGAATTTCACCTATACTTGCCACCTATTGTCTTTCTCTACATGACATGGTGTATATTAGTTTGCTGTGACTTGGAATGTCAATGTATCTTTCCAATTACTGACGAGGTTTAGGTTTGAAATTGCTTATGCTTTTGCTTAATTCAGCTCATGATGAAAACTACACGAGGCACAGTCGTGATATGAGGGCTGCCTTATTTCTACCCAATCCCGAACTGTCCATGAATGTCACACAACCTGAAATCAGCCAACCAGTTGTAAGTTGCTGTCTCAAAGGAAGTTTATTTATTTCTGTTGTTAAATTATATATATATATATATATATATATATAGTCATTTGTCACCATTTGTACTCTAGGTGCAGTTTCCATATGCTTACGCTGATCCTTACTTTGGTGGACTATACACTGCCTACGCACCTCATAACATGGTGAGTCTCGCCTTACGAATCATTCTTTCGAAATATTTTCTCAGTATTATGTGTATCATACAGTAGTTATTTCAAGTAACAATCTATTCGTTGAACAGTTGGAATTATAGATTCAAATATTATCATCTATTTTATTATCCCTGATAATGCTCGACAAGATTCAGCCGCAGGTGATGGTGGCAGCTCCTGGGCGAATTCCACTGCCTGCTGCTGATATTCCTGAGGATGGTCCCATTTACGTCAACGCCAAACAGTATCACGGCATACTTAGAAGGAGACAAATACGTGCCAAGCTCGAGGCCCAGAATAAACTCGTCAAAAATAGGAAAGTAAGTCAATAGCTTATGCGACTAATAGCACATAGGACTTCAAATTTCCAATTCTCAATTTATGTTCATATAGACAAATTCGGAAGAATAATAAAGTATAATGTACTGTGATAACATAAGAAAAACATTACTCATCTCTATGTTTTTCATGCCAAAAGAAATTGGCAACATAAGAATCCCCTTATATATAATTTCAGAATGCGCTGAGCCTAAGTGGCAGCTTCACATGCTTCGTAATCTTATGTGGCAAAATATTATGCTTTGTAATATGGCTCGGATAAAAATTACTATTTTTTTTATACCAAATAGCTTAGGTTTGGATTGCCATATATATAAACATATTTAATATATTTAAACTATTCTATATAAATCTATTTATTATCTTCATTATATAATATGCATATAATCTTACTTTCCAAATTTTGTGCTTTGTCCATATTAGCCCCTTATGTATTTTAAATAAAAAATATTATAAATAAAATTAATGATGTATATAAATTCGTTTTCAGAATTTAAAACAATATTGTAAGTTCACTTAATTCTTTATTATACATTGTTATATATTGTTCCTTATTTACTTTTTCCAACTTACACAAAATATATAAACATTTTTTTTTTCATTTCTGTTTTACATTTAATTATTTTATCAACCATTACACGGGTATTATACTACTAAAACATAAATAGCAAATGTTGTTGTTAGGTTGGTGAAGACCGCAATACTTCCTTCCTAAAAATGCATATTTAAACTATAAAATAAATACAAATGCAACTTACTCATTCTAAAAATGCTTACAAAAAAATCCAGCCCTATCTGCACGAGTCTCGCCACCATCACGCAGTGAATCGGATTAGGGGGTCTGGCGGCCGCTTTCTCAGCATCAAGAAGACTTGTGAGCCCACCACAGGCCCGGGGCCCGATCTCCCAAGCCCGTTTATTGGTGAAAAAACAAATGTCTCAAATTGCAACGGGCCTGACAGGTATAGTGTGGGCCCCTCGACTGGTGAAGACGGTACAAAAAGAGTTGCGGCTGCTAATGGCGGAGTTGCGTACGGAGGCAACCGCCACTATTCATCTGTCGGCTCCACCTGGCACGGCAATTCATCCTTGGCTACTTGAATCTGATTTTCTAGTTTTTTTTTTTTTTTTTTTTTTTNCTGCTTTTCGAAGAAAAAGGATAATGAAAAAACCTTCTGTTTTACTGGAAATTTGTTTGTGTGGTTCGATGTATGAACAAATTCTTAAATGAGGTGGACTGTGTCTGTAAGGTTGTTGACTGGGTGTTTTGTCTTGTGGATTAGTTTGTTTTTGTCTGCTACACTGTTTCGGAATTTTAACTTGTGACTTTATTTACTACTACAGAGCATCCGTGGCTTGATGGTATTGTTTTTAATTGATGTTATGTTACATCAATTAATTAGTAACATCGACTTAAAGGTGGTAGTGTTACAACCTCATCTCCATTAAGTATGGAGTTATGAGAAGTGTGTTTAAGTCTTCATTTAATTTGAGTTCCATGAAGGAAACTATAAATTGATGCTTTGTGCATCATGAAAAGTGGACAATACGAGATAAGAAAACAAGTTAAGAAAATACATAATCTTTATAGTGCTTTTCTCTTGTTGAGCCGAAACCATCAAGGCGGCTCGGGTTTTAGAGCGTGGAGGACCGTCGGATAAAAGATACGGGCAAGTTTTCGCTTTCGCTACATAAAGGTTAGTCCTATATATATATTTATATATGTGTTATATAAAACCACTAACAGTGGTATCAGAGCCCGTTTATTCCTCCGACGTATTTTTTAATAAACAAATATATTTATGTATTTGTTACATAAAATTCATTCTTTTTTTAACTAAGTGTTAAATATAGAATGAGTGTCATTCATGAAAATGACATAAAAAAAAAATAATAATTATTAAGATGGAGGAATAATTAGGTTTTGTGGCCTAATTAATATATAAACAAAGAGTAAAAATTATTATTATTATTCTTTGGTTAATAATAATATTTGTTATTATTATGGTTTTCAAATATTTATATGGTATTATTGTTTACCAATTAAAAAAAAAAAATCTTTTTAAAATTATCATAATATGTGTTATTATGATGAAAAGAATAAATCAATATTTTTGTAATATTGTGTCAGCTTCTTGTTATTATTTAAATTATCTAAGTAATAATTAAATAATTATTTAATATGATACATGAATATATGTTATTCATGTTATGAAACTTAAATATCTTTGTGATGTTTATATTTATTTAATACGATACATGAATATATGTTATTCATGTTATGAGACTTAAATATCTTTGTGATATTTATATTTGTGTTTATTTGTTAAACAATAACATCGATAAATGAATATGTTTCATTGGAATAAGATTAATTAAATTATATTTATTTTTGTTTGTGTTATTTGTGATGATTATGAGCTTGGCGAAATTTTCGAACTCATGGCATAAACAAAAATAAAAGTGATAATTTAATTATATTGACCTCATGCCTAATATCCATTTTATATACTTGTAGATGACAACTAAATCTATGATTGGAGATTTGTCCTCCAACGAAAAGCTAGATGGTACAAATTACGACATCTGGCATAGGAAGATTCAGTATCTTCTTAATGAACGCGAGGTTCTGGAAACCTTGTCCACTGCTGTGATTGAGCCAAAGGATACTGCTAGTGCGCAGTACAAGGAAGAATTGGCAACCTATCAAACGTGGTCCAAAAAGGATCGGTCTGCACGCTATACTATGTTGTATTGCATGCATAATGATCTTATTGGAGAGTTTGAGAATTGTCCCACGGCTAAGGACATGTGGGACAAGCTTAAGGTCACCTTCGGGCAAACTTCGGCTACTAGGCTCCGTGCCTTGAACTTAAAGTGGATGGATTACAATATGGATCCTAAGCACTCTGTTGCCGAACATTTGCGTGTCATGAGTGCCATGATATGTGACCTAAAAGCTGCGGGACGAGATGTATCTGATGAGGAGCAAGTTCTAAATGTGGTTCGTTCACTTCCAAATGATTCTGAGAATTGGAAGAACTTCAAGCTTCTCATGGCTCATAGCGAGAATGTAAAAACTTTTTCAGAACTCGCTAAACATATTGAAATGGAAGTAGAACGTCAGAGAACGTTAGCACCTTCCAATGTTGCATTTGTTGCCCATGGTGGTCAAACCAAGGGAAATAAGCGCAAACGAGCCAAGAAATTTTCTCGTCCTTCTCAAACTTCTGGATCAAATGGTGGTTCAAAGAAACAACTTATGGCACATGGCCAAAGGGAGAAGAAAATAGCGCGTGTGAAGTGCTATAATTGTGGACAGAAAGGTCATTTCGCTCGTAATTGTGCTGAGCCGAAAAAGGTACCTTCTACCACTAATTCTTTTGAACTATATGTTTGTTCTCATGCATTAGTTGCTAATTCTATTCCTAATTGGATTATAGATACGGGAGCAAGCAAGCACATAGTTCATGAAAGATCAGGATTTGTGGAATTCCACCGGTTTTCTATTGGCACTCAAACTGTCATGTTAGGGAATGGGAGCGAGGAAGATGTCCTTGGGGTTGGAACATACCAACTTAAACTCCATGGTGGAAATACACTACTCCTGCATGATACTCTCTATGCACCCGGGGTGCGAAGTTGTTTACTTTCAGTTGTTTCCTTGTTAAAACTTGGGTTTTCCTTTAATTTCAATACTGGTGGTTTGGACATTTTATATCATGACAATTTATTCGGACGTGGTATTTTAAAGAATGGTTTCTTTGTTCTTGACTTGGATGAAAGTTATAATGACTCATCACATGCTTTTGCTTCATTTTATAATATTGATTCTGAATCTGTTAAATGGCATGCACGACTTGGTCATATTGGTCAAGATAGAATGTCCAGGCTAGCTAAAGAGGGACATTTGGGACAATTGACTAAGATTAAATTGCCTAAATGCGAACCTTGTCTAGCCGGAAAAGCTACTAAAAAGCCTTTTGGTAAGGCATCAAGAGCATCAAATCCTTTAGAGCTGATTCATTCTGATATTTGTGGGCCTTTAAATATAAAAGCTCGTCATGGGGCTACATATTTTATTACCTTTATAGATGACTATTCACGTTTTGGGTATGTGTACCTATTATCTCATCGACACGAAGCACTTGATACGTTCAAACGTTTCGTGGCCGAAGTTGAAAACCAAAAGGAACGAAGAATTAAGACTCTTCGTACTGACAGGGGACGTGAATACCTCTCTGATATGTTCAAAGAGTTTTGTGAGACTAAAGGTATATCAAGGCAACTTACGGTTCCATATACTCCGCAACAAAATGGTGTTGCTGAAAGAAGAAATCGTACATTACTAGACATGGTTAGGTCGATGATGGCGCAAGCCAATCTCCCTATTAAATTTTGGGGAGATGCGCTGCTTACGGCAACATACATCCTTAATCGTGTACCGAGTAAAAGTGTGTCACTCACTCCATATGAGTTGTGGAATGGGAAACCACCCATTTTGGACCATTTACGCCCTTGGGGTTCGGCTGGCTATGTGCATAACCAAACTCACAAGTATGGAAAGCTTGGTCCAAGAGCTACCAAAATGGTGTTCATTAGATACCCTGAACATTCAAAAGGGTATGTTATGTTTGGTGAACATCCAGATGGTGGCATGACTGAGTTGGACTCACGCAATGTCGATTTTCTTGAGGATGAGTTCCCAAGTATTGGTGAAATTAAGAAAGACCTTCAGTTGTATGAGTTACAACAAGAAATGCAATTATCTTTAGGAGATGAGGGGGATATGTTACCTCTAGTGGTCTCCAATGATAATGAAGTTCTTCTAAATTCCATTGGTGAAATGCAAGTATCTTTAGGAGATGAGGGGGATATGTTACCTCAACAGGTCTCCAAAGATAATGAAGTTCTTCTAAATTCCACTAGTGAAAAACAAACTCAAAATGAGGATGAGCCTCATAGAGTAGAGCATGAGATAAGTTATCATGCTCATAGCCCCATGCCTCTCGAGGACAGTGGGAGAAATTTTTCAGCTAGTTTGGAAAATAATGAAGGTCCTACTTTGAGAAGGAGTGATCGTGGAAGAATTCCTCGTCGATTTTTTCAAATTGAGGAGGATGTATTTCTTTGTACTCCTTTAGAAGTAGATGAACCGAACTCTTATAAAGAGGCAATGAATTCACCATATAATTCAGAATGGAAAGATGCAATGAATGATGAGATGGACTCAATGATTAAAAATAATGTCTGGGAACTTGTTGACCTTCCACCTCATCGTCGATCAATTGGATGTAAGTGGATATTCAAAATCAAGCGTGGGGTGGATGGATCAATAGAAAAGTTCAAAGCTCGTTTAGTAGCGAAAGGTTTTACCCAAATTGAAGGTATAGATTACGATGAGACATTTTCTCCTGTGGTGAGATTTGCCTCTATTCGTCTTCTTCTGGCACTGGTTGCCCATTTGGATTTAGAATTATTTCAAATGGACGTAAAAACAGCATTCCTCAATGGTTCTCTTGAGGAAGAGATATATATGGATCAACCTATTGGGTTTGTCCCAAAAGGGCAAGACAATAAAGTTTGTCGCCTCAAAAAATCTATATATGGTCTCAAGCAGTCTTCCAGACGATGGTATCTCAAATTCCATGAAGCCATTTGTGCATTTGGTTTGACCATGGTTGATGAGGATCATTGTGTGTATGTCAAGAAAAGTGAAGAAGGAATTTTGTTTCTTTCTCTATACATTGATGACATATTGTTGGCTGGAAGCGACATGGGAATGATCAACGACACTAAGTTGTGGTTGTCCTCTAATTTCGAAATGAAGGACATGGGTGAAGCTAGGTATGTCCTAGGAGTGGAAATAATGAGAAATCGTCCTAAGAAACTTCTTGGTTTGTCTCAAGAAACCTATATTAAAAGAATCTTAGAACGTTTTCGAATGCATTATTCCAAACCCGTTGATACCCCAGTCGAAAAGGGTTTAACCTTAAGTCTTGACCAATGTCCAAAAACAGATGAAGAAAAACATAAAATGAGCAATGTTCCATATGCTAGTGCAGTAGGAAGCTTGATGTATGCTATGTTATGTACACGGCCAAACATCTGCTTCGCAGTTGGCTTGGTAAGTCG